GGGAGGCACAAGGAAATTTATTTGAGAAAACTTTGTAATAATAATAATGATATTTTATTAGCCTTTGAAATGGCGTAAAAAGAGGCATACAAGTCAACAACAAGAAAAAGCATTCATATATGTAAATCTTTCAGTTTTTTGTTTCTGAATTTCCATAGATGGATGGAAAGTTAGGATTTATTTATTACTCAAGTGGTTTAGTTGATTTGCAAGGGAAGACGTGCAATTTGGGGGGGGGGTTACTTTACTCTTTGAACAGCTACCTAACATTCACACACATATTTTTTTTTAAATAATCATATATGGACAACCAGCATCCCATACTTTACCATTTATACCTACCGGTAAATATTAAACCCACTAAACGAGACAAAATTCTGTTTCAGCACAAATACCTGTTTCCACGACAATCAACCAAACAGTGATGCCGACCACAACGACTGTGAAGCCTACAAAACAGAAACCAGTCACTACTCCAACACAACCTCATAGAATATCACTTCCCACATTGCCTTCACCGCTGATAATTCAAACAACACAACAACCTGAAGGTATGTATGGCTTTATATAGATCTATTAATTCATATGCAAGTTTCTGTTTCTACACAAGCTTCTTTGCAACTATGCATTGTCAGGTTGATCTCATTTTTGGTGTTCAATTCTAGTTACAACTTGCTGATCATGTGAGTGCAGAAATCACTTAATCCCAAATCCAGGGATGATCTCAGAAAGGATAATCACTTAAAATTTATCTTGTACTTTTCATTAATTTGTTATAATAATTACTAGCAGTGTTGATTTGAAAATCCAAAATAAGCTGATCATGAAAAACACTATAGTTGCTCAATTTCTTTCTTTTCTTTATTTTCTTGATTATTATTATTATTATTTATTATTATTATTTATTATTATACATCTGTCACCGTAACGCCATAAGTTACAGCGTGCCGTAATTTTGCGGTATTTTATGGGGTATATTTTCATACTACCATATTAGGAAATGCGAATTCTAAATATGGAATAATTACGCGCGTAAGCGTCCTCTAATAATAAAAACAAACATGGCTGCCACCAGGATTTGACCGGACTCCATACAAAGAAATTTGCTGATTCTCTTCTAAACTTTTTGGATTTCGGCATTCCCATGATGTATCCTTGGAAGGAAAAGATGTATACTAATAAGGTTATCACGAAGATACCTCAAAGTATGCACTCAGACAGTATGCTGTCGCATCGACCTCGGCTGCGCGTCGGTCGATACTGCCGCTGTACTGTCTTTGTGCATACTTTGAGGTATCTTCGTAATAACCTTGTATTATTATTAATCTTTTGGAAGATACTTAGCGGTGTTTGGTATGATTTTGTATTTGTTTTCTTTAAATTAAATTGCATGCTTGTGATAAAAAATTCATTGTGAAGACTGCTCATAGAATTTATAAATTCTTCATTTTAATATTTCATGCAAAATGACTGCCCACTAATTGAACCAACCGTTGACCACCATCTGCAGTGTGATTCAGAAATAAAAAAATTAGCAAGGGTGTGTGTGTGTGTGCATTTTTCTGCCATGCTTTGTCCAATTTCAGTTCAGATCTGGTACAAAAACAAGTCAAAATTTGGTGTTTGTCTTGTTCCTTTCATCATTCTCTTTCATCATAATGTTATTTATTGTTGTGTTATCCATAGAAACAACAGATAGTAAAGTTAAAACCACCACAGTGGAAGTCAAAGTTACAACTGATAGAAGACGATTATACTGCCCTGCAGTTAAAGTGAGAGATATAGATTGGCCGGAAACATTAACTGGTTCTGGAAATGTTATTAAACAGTGTCCTTCTGGTACAACGGGTAAGTGTGCGTATTAACTTAATGCATATAGAGGTCAGGTAACCATTTGACTGCTTTTATAAATTTTATTCTAAATTGGGGTTATTAATCTGCCACGTCTCAGATATTCCAATGACACTGAAGTGTTTTTGTGAACAGGTTTCATAAAGTATCTTCAAGGTGGCGTTGCAGGGAAAAATGCATTTAGAGGTGGAATTTCACTTTTTTAACTTTTTATATAGCAGAAAACGTCCTTGTTCTTGAGTGAAAATTTCAAAATCCCATTGTGAGTAGAACACCTTATAAACTAGGTTTAAAATTATTAGAAACAAACACATGTGCCACGGTCTAAGTTTAACTGTTTAATTTGCATAAGTCTTGCTTTAATAATTAATGTTGATTGATCGCTGGAGCTTAACAGTAGTATGCAAATCATGTTTTGGGAAGACCAGTTTTGTTTCCTGTGTACCATAAAATCTGTATTAGAAGCCGCATTCCTAATAGAAGTCGCACCCATTATTTTTGAATAATTGAGAACCAAAAATTCATCATTTCTACGAATGTGTAGATGCTCTAATAGAAGCCACATCCCATCTGTTGCATTGTACCATTTTAATAGAAGCCGCGGCTTCTAATACAGATTTTACAGTACTTCTTTCACCATGGAGCTACCTCCATGGTTTCACAAACGCCGTTCGTACGCAAACATCAGCTATTTTATATCCCAAGATTTATTTATTATATACAACTGAGTAAAAAGGAGAACATGTTCGGAAAAAGAAAGATGGACACTATGTTTAATAGAGGGAAAAAGAATGTTACTGAAGGAATCAGACCGTGGTTCCTATCATAACCAAAGAGAAGACGCGATTTTTAGTGCATACTGTACCGAGAGTGACAGCTCCCCGACAAAGTCTGACTTGGAATATGGAACAGACACGGGATCATACATCTGTACAACAAAAGGAACAGATATACCTTGACGAAAAAAGTGGGCCGTAAAGACAATTTAATGGAAGAAGATTCTGAAGTACTGACAATAATCGACCTAATGTCCCTGAACGAATGCTTGAAGAAAGTCACGACCTGTGCACTCAAACGAACTGTCACCCTGCGTCGAGCTGTGGAGATGACTTCATCAAAACAAAATGGAAAACATTTCGAGATTAAGAGAACCAATTTCCGCTCCCCCTTAAAAAAACTACACCGCCATTTTGGCTTCAAATAGCGAGGAGACAGCCGAACAAGAATTTCTGTCAGCTCTCAGAAGAGTAACAATAAAAACACTTTTCCCAGAAATTACGGAGGCAATACTATTGTGATGCATAGTATACTTTGACATAGTCTATTAATGTTATTTTATTTTTATTATGACATCTGCACGTTGGATTTTACCCCGGGCCCCTGGCAAGTCAGATTTATAAACAATCAGCTGATCGGTAATTTGCGTACAAGTTCCACCCACTGTTGACTTTATAATCATAGCGGGACATCAGAAGCTTGGCTCATGAAGAGTTTCGCCAACTCCACATTTTGTAGAACAAAAACGCTCACACAAATAGATTTGTGCAGATTTAATTTTTTTTTTAAAAACAGTGTTGTTCCAGTTATGGTACTCAATCTTTTCGTGGTGTTTTGACAGTGTCTAAAAGGTACGTGAAGCGACATTCGTGGTTTCACGTAAATTTAAACAAAATGATGATTATCTCAACTTCATTTTCGACTTCAATAACATTAATTACGTGTCAATTTCAAAGTGTGAAACTTTTAGCAAGCATTGTGAAAAAAATATTCAATGGAAATACTACAAACTTTTGTTCTATAATCCTAGTGAACATAGGTTTTTAACAAGTCAAACTGCCATTCGATAAACCTGTGCGTTCAGAAGTTAAATACACAATTTAACCAAAACTGACATTTTCAACCCATTTTCGATACCACAAAACCACAAAAAAAATGCATCACACTGTTGAAAAGCTGGCAAAATACATGTAAGCTTTCATGTGGTATATAACATAACAAAATTAACGCATTTGTTAGTAGTGTAATTTATTGTTTAAAATTCTTATAAATCATGATGCATCGCCACCTTAAACTGCCAACATTTTTGCTTAACGAGCGGATATTAATATGAGATATAGCAAATGTACTGTTTGAATTATGGTTAAATTTTTCGTTAAATTCAGAAGGTGAAAGAGAGTCGTTTACAACTTCATGTCTGATATAAATATCATCATTGACTGGTTGCACAAATACAAATTATACTTATACATGTACACCATATACGACAACACAGTACTTACAATTAACATACTTTGGTGGTAAGCCACTTTTCTTCCTCACGAATATTTCACAGTTATTTGTCCACAGAAATTTATAATTTGTGTTCTTTCTTTCTTACTTCATTGGCTTTCCCTAATAACTGTTGAGTACTGCGGTGAAGATTTTCGTTAAAGAAAAAAGAGTTGTTTGCGTCATAACCAATGTTTCTGGTTGATATACCTTTGAGTTTACGTCTTCCCTCATAGATAGCGTTTCTCTTTTTTCTGGTAGTAAATCAATAATGGGCCGTGGACGTCTTACGTCTAGGGTGATATCTTCATTGCGTTTACCAATGTGGTGTGTTACATCGATGTCATTTTCATTAGTTTGCGGGTTGATCTTCTTTAGGATATTAAGAGCTATCTTTTCGGTGTTTTCTTCTTGGCTGGTTTCTGGGATGCCCGTAATTTCTAGGTTTATTTTCCAATGATATTAGTTTAATTTATTCAAGTTTCTTTCAGTGTTGTTAACCAGGTTTCGTAATCACTGATTTTCTTCTTTCAAGTTCTTATTCACTTTCTTCATTATCTCAATCTCTTTTACCATTTCTTCAAACTTACTATTCATAAATGATATTGAATTAACTACCGACTGTTGTCCAGATTTTAAGTCACTAATGTCACTGCTGATAATGGTGAGTTTCTCAATAATTGCTGCCACTGATGGTACTCCCGTGGCGTCTTTCTCGGGACTGGATGTCCGACTGCCTTCACATTTTTTGCACAAAGGTACACTGTTTTCTGCAGCTGTAACACTTTTAGTTTTACCACAATAAGTACACTTTGGCATGTTGAACAAACAATAGCGCACAATGCTAGGCAAACAGATATTAAAGTTGCATTCAGTGATTTTTCGTGAAAAAAAAAGTTGTTCAATTGTAACATTTTTGGGTTTTATGCCTACATAAGCGCCTCCTACAACAATACTAGACAATAGTGGCCCACAGAACCAGTGTTATGTTTTTAAATGAACTCCATCCTAGATGCTGTTTGTTTTAACACTTGTATGTATCAGTCATGTGATCTGTCATGTAACCTGTACATTACTAATTATATGCATTTTTTCCTAGGTGAAGCATCATGGGATTGCAATGGTTCCCCAGCTGAATGGACACCTGCATCAGGTCCTGATCTCAGTGCATGCAAATCACCTTGGGTGAATTTCATCACAGGACGGGTCAGTATTTTCATTTTATTGCTTTCACTGTTCTAAATTTGTGCATTTTTACGAGTATTGTCAAACTATATTTCTACTGTTTTCTTTCTAGGTTGATGACATTGAAGACCCTGATGACATCATTCAGATTTCAGAAATGCTAGTAACTGGAACAGAACCAGATAAAAAACTTTATGGTGGTGACGTCAAAGGTTGTATTGATGTCATTGATCAATTACCGATAGCATTAGAGGAACAGTTGAAAGATTTGAATCAAGTGGAAAGACAAGAACTTGTTTCCAATACTGCTGATGTAAGTATACAATATATAAGTATTATGTATTTGTTTGTATAAAAGCGGGTGTGTGGAATATTCAAATTAAAACTTGCCATTTCTCAGGCATGCCTGAGCCAATTTCATTCAAACTTGGTATGAACATCACATACAGTAGATTGGTTATTGCATTTTGTAAGTTCCTGTTTAAATTCAGTCTATTTTGTTTGTAACCAACTGTATCTAAGACCTGTGATCTCATTTTGAGATACATGTGCACATCCATTTCTCTATTTGTCATCTGATTTGAAATGACCATTTGGTGGGCATTTAGTGTTAAAAATTCATCATAATCGAGCATTTCTGTTGTTCCGGAACCTGACTTTAGCTGTAAATTAATAAATGTCATACATTAGACATTGCAGGACCTTGATGCATGTAATTTTGTATTTTGGATTGGACTGGTGGCCATTTAGTTTTAATGAATGCTGTTCCAGAGCTGTATGTCTGACATGCCTTGACTGATTGCATTCAAACTTTACATTTACATTATACATCATGTCACACATATTGACATACATCTTTGTCTG